CAAGGTAACACAACTGTACAGTATTGTTATTGTTGTAGTTACAAGGTAACACAACTGTACAGTATTGTTATTGTTGTAGTTACAAGGTAACACAACTGTACAGTATTGTTATTGTTGTAGTTACAAGGTAACACAACTGTACAGTATTGTTATTGTTGTAGTTACAAGGTAACACAACTGTACAGTATTGTTATTGTTGTAGTTACAAGGTAACACAACTGTACAGTATTGTTATTGTTGTAGTTACAAGGTAACACAACTGTACAGTATTGTTATTGTTGTAGTTACAAGGTAACACAACTGTACAGTATTGTTATTGTTGTAGTTACAAGGTAACACAACTGTACAGTATTGTTATTGTTGTAGTTACAAGGTAACACAACTGTACAGTATTGTTATTGTTGTAGTTACAAGGTAACACAACTGTACAGTATTGTTATTGTTGTAGTTACAAGGTAACACAACTGTACAGTATTGTTATTGTTGTAGTTACAAGGTAACACAACTGTACAGTATTGTTATTGTTGTAGTTACAAGGTAACACAACTGTACAGTATTGTTATTGTTGTAGTTACAAGGTAACACAACTGTACAGTATTGTTATTGTTGTAGTTACAAGGTAACACAACTGTACAGTATTGTTATTGTTGTAGTTACAAGGTAACACAACTGTACAGTATTGTTATTGTTGTAGTTACAAGGTAACACAACTGTACAGTATTGTTATTGTTGTAGTTACAAGGTAACACAACTGTACAGTATTGCTATTGTTGTAGTTACAAGGTAACACAACTGTACAGTATTGTAATTGTTGTAGTTACAAGGTAACACAACTGTACAGTATTGTTATTGTCTGATCTGTAAGGTCACATAACAACACTTTTATTGTTTATATCTATAAGGTAACACAGCAATATTTTTATTATTTTATGTAAAAGTTGTACAACAGCCTTTTAATTATTTTATATAGGTGTATACCCAGTAAGATGACACAATAATTTCATTTTTTTTAAGACACGATTTGTTCTTCAAGTCTTGTGTATGTTTTACTTAAGGTCATTGGAATGTATTGATAAACGGAAACAGGCAGTACATCCCTTGTTGAAAATCCAATGTACGGAGACAGTATCACAATTTCCGCAAATTCTAATGTTTAATATTAAACTGATGAATATTGTATGTTTATTATTGACAAAACAGTGTGTTCTCTCAATATTAAAGTATTTCAAAGCAATCCAGGCATTAATTCAGGGTTTTTTAATCAATGAGTCACATGTGTCAATTTTTCTGTACTTCAGGAAACCGGCTACCTATTTCACTACTGTGAAGTTTTTCAAGAACGATAACTCTTACCTGCAATTACTATGTGTATATGGTTTTATTATAAAATGTCAATTTTTATATCGTCTATAGAGAATTAATTTTACACAATTTCAGCATTTATTAAATTGATATACATTGATGCAATACTAATATATGTCAGTATCATTTTTATTGACATTATTTTGTAAAAATATTGTGTCTTTCATTTTTTTTTCAAAATTCACTCCATTTTACATAAATTTCCATTTAAAAACCTTAAATTCTGACAACCTATATGTTTTTTGTGGCAGAATATTTTCTTTACTTTATAGCAATATAACTACAAAATTTGAAGAAATTCTACTGAGAAATGGTGACACAATCCTATTACCTTAACCAAAGTAGCCCATGTTTTACCACAGGTAAAGTATATGCACTTTTTATCATACAACACAACAGCTTTTAGCTCACACAGTCACTGGCGAGGCGCTCGTTGTTCATCAGTCGACTTTTCCTTTAAAATCCTTCTTGTCCTGAGGGGCTAAGTGAATTTCGACTAAATTTGGATTGGAGCATCCTTGGGCAAAAGAGACTCAATTTTGTATAAAACAGAGGGTGAGGCCTCCCTGGGAGTAGAGGGGCAGGCCCATAAGGGGAAATTGAGGTGAATCTTTAAAATCCATCTCCCTCTGTACAATTGGAGGGATTTTGACTAAATTTAGCCTGGAGCCTACTTGAGCAAAAGGGACTCAATTCTTTTTTTAAAGGAGGGTGTGCCCCTCCCGCCAGGGGCAGAAAGGCAGAATCCAATAGGGGAACTTTACAAGAGGCCCATGGGCCTTAGCGATCACCTGAGTTATATCATAGGTACTGGTAGCTTTATTTTATTGTTTAGATGTGATGTGGAAATCAGCATGTAAACTAAGTGAAATACAATACTTGTCATGTCATCAAAGGATAAGAATTTGAAAATATTGGTAAATGTTCCCTTTGAGGCCCTGCCCTAGCCCCTGGGGATGGAGCAGGAATCCCAATTTTACAATTTAATACCCTCATTCACCAAAGATGATTCTGACTAAGTTTTCTCCTGAAAATGGATAAAATATACCCGAAAGTGTTATATCCCTATATAAACTATAGTAAACTTTACCCCCTCCCCAAGGGAAAACGGATAGCTCGGGGGTCCTGAAATTTACAATTTAAATAAAGCCCCCGATGAACTTTCTTTTTATGCACTGAAAGTGAATGTAGTATGTACCTCTGAGTCTGGAGAAGAAGATTTTTGAAATATTGGTTAATTTTCCCTTTTGGGCCCGCCCTGGCCCCAGGGGTAGGGGTAGGAATCCAATCCATTTTACAATGTATAAGCCTCATCTACCAAGGATGACTCTGACTAAGTTTTAAAAAAATCCATCCACTGGTTCTTGAGAAGTTGAAAATGTAAAAAGTTTACGCACGACAGACGACGACGGACTTAAAGCGATTAGAATAGGTCACTTGAGCAAAGTTCAGGTGACATAAAAATCCTTCTTTAGTTGGGTTGGAGGGATTTTAACCAAATTTGGTCCAGAGCGTCCTTGGACAAAGTTGACTCAATATTGTATAAATGGAGTATGTGGCCCACCTTGGGGCAGAGGGACGGGGCCAAAAAGGGGAAATTAAGGTAAATCTTTAAAATCCTTCTTCTGATTGCTGAGAAACAGAGCCAACATTTGGAAATAGTTGCATTATTATATCTAATGACAATATTTTCCCATGGTTGCTTAATTATCGAGGAGATCGATACAGGCCCTCTGGACCTCTTGTTCTCATTTTGGGTAGCACAACAGTATCTTTGTTCTAGTTAATTAAGTGAGCCCATTATTATTTTTGTATTGTTTTACCTGATCATTCTAACACATTATTGTTTTTGTTTTACCCAATTATGATACTGCAACAGAAACGTTCTTGTTCTCTGTGATTAAGGTAAAACTCATGCAATGTAGCTGTATTTGTTTTATCTTATTAAGGTATATGCAGCAACAAGGCTGTAAAATTAGTACATACTACATTTCACGACAGTTTCGTTTTTTGTTTTATTTATATCAAAATATCATAACAGGATTTTTTTCATTCTTTCAACCCAAATAAAATGGCATAAGATATTTTCTTCATCTGACTTTATTGATATAGCAAAGGACCACTTTTTCTTCATTTGCCCTGATTAGGTTAGCACAATACTATTTTATTGTTTTGCCAATCAAAATATAACAACATCACTTTATGACTTTAATCTGATCATCGTGCCTGTAGTACATTGTATGTTTCTGTTTATAATACCAACCTAAGGTAATAGATCAATATTTTTTTCTAAAGAAGAATTAATGTACAAAAATAAGAATTAAAAAGGCCCTGCAGAGTGCACACGAGTACACACTAGTACTGCATACATAGAAAACATGATACATGTACGCAGCAGTCATTTTGATTCAATACCTCAGGGTGTTCATGATTACATTAGAAACCGTTTCCACTTTGAGCCAATGAACAGTTTACAAAATCAGTTTCCCTTTGACAACAGATTCAAATGAATTGGAGAAGGACACAATTTAACTGCAATTCACACCAAACTCTGAAAGGAATAAGACTGCAGGTAGGCAGCCTATGTCCCCTGACATGATAGTTGTAAATAATTATTAGGACAACATTCAGGCTGAAGAAATCAGTTAACACACATAACAAATATGTGTAAGAAAAAAATAAGAACAAATCTATGTCTATAAAAATAAATACAGACAAGATATAACTGTATACTTTTATAATGCAAGCAAATTGTTTTCATATAAAATAGCAGTGTACTTAATTTTAAAGAGTCTGTCAAAAAGGTTGAAAAAGTTTTATGGACAGGTGTAGCTCCATACTTTTTAAATTAACTTCTGTAAAAAAAAGAGAGATGAAAACGGTGACCCTTGTGCATAACAATCAGTCGAACAGTTTGAAAATATTGCTTCATCCAGACAGAAACCATGACTATATTTCCACACTGCGGTGCTTCAGGGAACAAAAGTCAGGTAGTCCATTGGACCCGTAGACATACATTCTCCGGAAACTTCTGCATAAAATAGACATATTTCTCTTTCCTACTGTTCCTGTGGGGTTGGGGTGTTGATTAGTTAGCTTAACAATGACACTCCCTATCGACATTTGAACCAGTTATACTACAAACATGTAATACCTGCATATACGCTGTTTACAACCAAAGATATCAACATTTTATTGAATTAGTCATAAGCACTTCAAGTTTACTTTCACATCCAAGTGAAAAATGATATATCTTTACAGTGGTACAGTTAAGCTGCTTACAATAGTAACTTTATACAATGTTTTTAGTAAATTACACATCAAAATGAAAAAACTATGCTTACAGATCTAGTCTACTCATTAACTATTGGCGCTAAGACCTGTCAAATACACCACTTACTACATCCTGTATATCTGACCATGAGTTTCATCTTGGCCTTGAAATTGATCTCTAGTGGAATAATAGACAGTATTTCTAACAAAAGTATGTACGACAAGACAAGGGGTGAGAGAAGATTGATTTTAACTTCACTCATTATTTGAAGTAAAACTTCAATCTTATCGTAAAGAAGACTATGACATTTTTTATTGATAAGAGTGAACTTGACAGAAAATGATAGAGGGAGAACTTGACTCACCATCTCGAGATCAAAGTTGAGGATAGTGCTGGCGTTGTTTGAGGCAGGTCCATAGTCAGTAGTGGTCTCTGTTCTTCGACCCATTCCTGCTCTGAAATGGGAGTTTGCGTCTGAAGCATCTTTCAGGGTCACAGATGTACCATCCTGTTGATAAAGAAAAGGATTGTGTACAGCTATCATACCTTACCAGGACAGTGAAAGGAAGCAGATAGGGAAGATGGACAGTAAAACCTCTAAATGATGTGCTGTCTCATTTGCCAACTTACTTACTGCCTGTATATTTCATGGTCTCCATTTATCTCATTTCATTGTAATACCTAAATATTCCTTCCTCAATGTTTTGCCGAAGCCCTTTATAATGCCAAAATTTCACCGGACATATACAGGCCATTTAATGAGGTTTCACTTAACATTACTTTACATGAAATACCTTATTATTTGGTGGAAGAGATCTTAATTGAACTAAAATTTACTGTATGTGTATTAATCTTATGTTAGTAGAAATATCATTTTTTTAACATTAAGGTAATACAAAAAAGTGTAAAATAAGTGACTCCTGTAGAATGAACTCTGTCAAAATTGCCATCATATCAACATTTAATCAAGGTTGTATCATGGATGTAAGTCATTACTATTGAGGTCTGTAATGAAATAGAATATTGGCAAGAATTGAAGAAGAATCTCAATTCTTAGCTACAATGCGATTGTTTCACATTCTTACCTTGACATGGACTCCCTTATCTGCAGACTCAGTGAGGTCCTTATAAGCCCCACCACTGACCCCAGGAACCTGGAGCAGATCCTTGATCAATTCGTTGTACACCTCATACATCTGGAGAGTCACTGTGGGACTGTGTCTCCTCACCTTCGTGTCAGCCATGAACTTCTCTACAACACATACATATATAGACATAAACTCTTTGCCATAAGACAAAAATACAAATGCAGCCATAAACTTTTCTACAAAACAATGATACATCTATGAATGTCTTGTTTTTCTGGTTAGATTTAAGCCACAAAATTCTCTTCAACAAAGAAACAACAACAAACTTCTCTTTATCGCACAGACACAGCTTTTAACTTCCCTTTAACCTATAGATACACGTTTATAGTCATGAACTACTTTACACTGCAGATGTGGCCATGGATTTAGTTTACAACACATAAATTCAGCCTAGAACTTACCAATATTCTACAACACAGATTTAACAATGAACTACTCTACAATACATGACAAGGGCTGTGAACTTCTGCATAATATAAATTTATAGCCATTTCCACTTATGAAAGTACTCAGCACTCTGCCAAATTCAAGAAATACAGATGTACTACAATGTAGTAGTAACTCTTTTACACTTTTATTTACGATTTATCTATGTATAATGAGGAACTCTGACCTTCTGCAAGTCTGCTGAACAGGTAATCAAATACCATTGGTGCAACGCCTGCTTTGTTAGCAGTTTCTCCAGCCACAGTGAAGGACTTGCCAGCCTCACTCTCACCCATAACCAGGAGACATACGTTAAAACCAGCCATGTACAAGTCCAGCAGGTTCTCCACCGAGTGTTTGAACACATCGTAGTTCCCAGCATCCTTGTGATGGAGGTAGGAAAAGCTGCAAAGCAAAGAGTGTAAACATATGTATATGTCAATTTATAACATAGTTATAAAAGCATAGCCAAAATTTCTCCAATGCTTCCTGTAAAAGGTGAGGGAAAATGCATGACAGCCAAACTGGGTTACAACCCAGGACCTCTGACACCTTGACAGATGCTGTACCCAGCTGGCTACAGAAAATCAATATAACTTGAACCTATTGGAGTCAAATATCATTTTACATTAACAGGTTTCTCTGTCCTGACCATTTCTTATATAAAAAAAATAGTAACTTGATTCAGTTGTGTCAAACACTTGGCTCAATCAGCAAATAACCATCATAGCTATAAAAAAATATTTGACTCCAATCCATATAATTCTCATAACTTTCCTTTCAAAGTTGGAACTCTTTTTGTCATTACCTACAGTAATCAAAATGTGTTTATAACACATTACACCTTTTTTAAACTCTTTCACTGTAAAAACTAACACACAGCCACTTGAAAGTGACTGACAGCTGGATGTGGTTGTGTCTTTGACCCAAGTTGCTCAGTCCGCTTTCCAAAAGTGTACCAATATATATTCTGGGTTTGATATTACTGTTTTTGTGCTGTAGTATTCAAGTGGTAATCAGGCTCTAGAGCCATTGGCAATGCTGATTAATAAGAAACAGAACATCTACACTGTCTCCAGAACAAAAATACACATCACAAAGTGGGAATGGATAGGATACATGTCTGGGAAACAAACAGGTTTCTTCTACCTATCCCAAAGGACTTGGCATATAACAATTATATAAATTATAATCTGATAAGAACACAGCACTTGGTCAGTCAGTATTATAAATACAGCAGTGACTGCCAAAACAGCTAGTGTTCAGATAGATTCCTGTTGAGAGCAAGGACTATATACTAGACATGTCACCCTGGTAAAATACCAGCGCTTCCTACCAACTTGGTTCGGGAAAAATTCTCTTTAGCTCATTCGGTAGAGTATAAGACTGGTAAGAGCGGAGGCATTGAAAAAATAATGACCTCTGCTACAGACATGTAGTAGTAAACAACAAGACACCTGCAACTTAAGGTCAAACCTTTACAGTAAAACAAAATGTTACCACATTTTCTTAAAGTGTTTGCTCCTATTACAAATGTCGATTTTGTACATTGGTTAAGAGTCTTACTTTAGAAATGGTCCTTTTGACTGGGCTGCTATTCTATGTCCATCAATGACAATGTTGCCAGATCCTTCAGCACGAATGGACGGGCGAATCCGCCCGACCACATCAATGTTCATCCTGTTTTAGTTACCCAAGTCCTGTTATAATATAAAGATGACATCAATCTAATAAATCAATTTGTTTATTGTCAACATGCAATATATAAAATAAAAAAAACAGTAATCATTGATTGACACCATTATAAAGAAGGTTTCATTGGATTAAATCTGATTTTGAAAACAAAAATCTCAACAATGAGGAACTACAGAAACTCTAAGCACGTCATGTCACTGATGTCAAATGTAGAGGGAATGAGTTATCCCCCCTGATTAAATATTTACCGTTATCGGGTATCAACTTCAAGTAAAAAAAAAAAAAAAATTAGACGTTCAATCATATATATGCGGATCTCAAAAACACAATTTGGCATATACAGAATGACTCAATCATCTTTGGAATAGCATCACACAATACAGTATGTGCGATATGAAAATAAAGATAGCTAAACTGCGACACAGGTCTCGTGCTGGGAATCAACAAATAACCACACATTTCAAAGAGATGGAAGGGATCACGGGCCAAACATGGTTTGTGTTTAAGATCAGGTTAACAGACAATATTCAGAAATAAACATGTAATACCTGCTAGTACCTTAATATCGTAAACGAAAGACAAATCCCATTTTATGACAGACACTTTGACAGGTTGTTTTCCTTCGCGACAGCCATTCCATAAATGTCTTACCTCCGCACAGTAAAGAGCTCCACGCACGGCTTAATTTTCAAGTATTGCAGTTATAGACCTATTTAGACATAAACTAATTTGTTCATGGTAAAATTACCATAAACACCATAGTTTACGTCCAAATATAGCTTTAACAAATTCTAAGGTCCCTGTGATTCGTAGGATAACACATGGGGAATTCATTTTTTTATTCAAATCTACGTAACTTACATTCTCTCGAAAAACATCGTTAGATGTGTTAGTTGGGTTTCACCATGCGGCGTGTGTGAATTAAAAAAGGCTACAAAATAACTTATATAAATGATCGTATGCATGTATTATTCATGTATTATTCATGTTCATGTGTATGAAAGGTGTACTATAATCAGTGGCGGATCCAGAGGGGGTTTTGGGGGCTTCAGGCCCCCCCCC